GGGAACGAGTCTGAAAAGGGAAGCGGTAAAAATAGAACTAGCTTGCCTGCCGCCCCATCCCAGAAAGCTGAGAAAAAGGGTAAGCCGCCTGCAAAGCAGGCAGCCGCTCAAAAGAAGGAGGTTCCGGGTGCGTCCGTCGCCCGACCCACCACTACTTCTTCTTCTCCAACAGAAACCTGGACACAGGTTGTGGGGAAGAAGAAAAAAAGGAGAAACAGGGGGTGGGAGCGGGTAAAGCTCCTCTCATCAGACCCCCCACATCCTCTCAAGCTAGCCAGCAGCGGCAGCCGCAGCAGCAGAAGCAGCGAGGGAAGGGGGGGGGGAGTAAGAGCCAAGCCTTCCCCAAAAAGAGGGCGGGCCGCGTGCCAAAGACGACGGCCGTTACGGTCAGCGTGCCCGAGGGGGGGGCGCCTAAGTTTGAGCTCGGTGATGGCGATAGCCCGTGCGGCCATTAATCTCGCCGATTACGGGATCGCCGGGCTCAGGCCAAAAAGAGCCATAACCGGGGGCCTGATCTTGGAAGTCCCCGGCGAAAACGGAGCAGAAAGAGCGGACACACTGGCTAAGGCCATGTCCGCCCTGTTTGCAGAAGATACGGCCAGAGTCTCCAGACCCGTCAAGACCGCAGAGGTCAGGATAAGGGGTCTGGAGGACTGTGTATTTCCGGAGGAGGTGACCGCGGCCCTGGCAATAGCCGGGGGATGCACCCAAAGAGAGGTCAGGGTGGGCCCTGTCAAGTTGGCTCCCTCTGATTTTGGGGCCGTGTGGGCGAGATGCCCAGTGTTGGCTGTCCGCAGGCTGGCCGATCTGGGCAAGATCACGATCGGGTGGGTGAGGGCCGTGGTCGATGTACTGGAGCACCGCCCGCTCCAGTGCTTTAAGTGCCTCCGGCGGAGTCACGTTAGGCAGAAATACCCTTCCCCGCGGAGAACAGGAGCGGGCAGTGTTATCGGTGCGGGGAGGCGGGTCACAGGGCGGCCTTGTGCGCGGCGGACTCAAAGTGTCCGCTGTCCTCGGACTTAGGCCGCCCTGCTGGCCATCGCTGGGGCAGCTAAGCCTGTGCCCTTGCCCTTCGGAAGGGCAAGGGGGGGGAAAAGTCCAGGAAGAGGGGGCGCCGGTGCTTCCTCTCTACAACCGCGGAGATGTCAGCGGGACCATCGGGCCCCGCTGCGGGGAGGTTAATCGAGCCTCCTCCTCAGGAAGGGAAGGACCGGGAAGAGGAGCCCATGGATGCCGATTAGTAAACCATAGCTCTCCTCCTCCAGGCGAACCTGAACCACTGCCGGGCGCAGGATCTTCTAACCCAAAGCCTGGCGGAGTAGGGAGGGGGCTTGGCAGTCGCGGCTGAGCCGTATTCGGTCCCCGCTCACCTTGCATGGGTGGGGAACGAAACGGGCTCAGTCGCGATGTACTGTATGTGGGGCCGCGAAACCCCGGTCTTTACTCTCGCTGAGAGGGGACCGGGGTTCGTGGCCGTGGAGTGGAGAGAAACCACAGTGGTGGGATGTTATTTCTCACCCAAAAGGCCTCTCCCCGATTTCGAGAGGTACCTGGTCGGGCTCGGTGCGGTCGTGAGACGTCGACTTCTCCATCCGGTACTGGTCCTGGGGGATTTCAACGCCAAGTCGGTGACATGGGGCTCCCCCAGAACGGGGGCTAGAGGAGAGATCCTGGAGGAGTGGGTGGCGGTCTGCGAGCTCCATCTATTGAATCGGGGCTCGCACACGTGCGTGCGGCAGCACAGGGGGTCGATTGTCGACCTGTCGCTGGCTTCCCCGACTGCTGTGCCGCGTGTGTCCGGGTGGTCAGGACGGACGTAGAGACGCTTTCGGACCATCGGTACGTTACCATAGTGGTCTCCACGTCTGGTCCGGAGATCTATGATCTCCGCGTCGAGTTGCGCGGGAGGTTAGGCAGCCCTCGTCTGGACGAGGCAGTGGCTCTTGCAGGGCGCCAAATCCGGCAGCGCGTGCTCCAGAAATGGAGCGAACGGCTTAGTCAGCCCCAAGTGGCTGACAATCGCGTTGTTGGAGCTGTCCGGCCATGCATAATGCAGTGGCTAGGCAGACGGCATGACAAGGTCACCTATCGTTTGACGCAGGTGCTCTCGGGGCACGGGTGCTTCGAGGAGTACCTGCATCGAATAGAGAAGAGGCCGACGGCACAATGCCGCGCGTGCGACGCGGCTTCCGACTCGGCGCAGCACGCGCTGAAAGAGTGTCCAGCGTGAGCGGAGGAGCGCCGGGTCTTAGTCGCGTCGATCGGAGGAGACCTCTCCCTCCCGGCCGTTGTGCGGGCGATGATCGGAGGGGAGGAGAACTGGAAAGCGGTGGCCTCCTTCTGCGAGCAAGTAATGCTGCAGAAGGAAGCTGACGAAAGAGAGTGGGAGCAAGCTCCAGGCAGACGGGAGCAAGCTCCCAGAGGAAGGAGAGGAAAACGGGGAGGGAGACGGGCGGGCGGCGTTAGGCGTCATGCGGTGGAAGGTAGAGGTTTGCCTTCCCCCTCTCGCGCGCGGGGCCGCTGTCCGCCCCGCTCCCTCTGGCAAAGAGTAGCATCCGAATGACACTAGGCCCTGGGAAGGTCCCCCTCTTTCCGGGGCCTGAGTGGTCAAGTCAGCCGGGACGGTGTTATGCTGGGGCCAAACGGGGCCCTGCTGGTCGGACACCGCCCCGGCAATTTGGACCCAGTAGCGGGCGATGGCCGGGGGGAGAAACCGTCCTCCTCCCGGGTAGGTAGGTTGGTCCCGACCTATCTCCTGAATATTATCGATCGCCTTGGCAACATCCTGCTCGACGTTGCCAATCGATCGTTGGAGGCTATACCTGGCTCGGAGCTCCACGAATGCTAAGGTAAGCTTTGTGTAAGCTTTGCTCCTTCGGCTTCCCAGCTTTTTTCTCCTTGGACATTTTGGACCGGCGACAAAGCCGCGCCCAAAGATTGTCCAACCACTTCTCCGTCCAGTCAATGAGTTCGAGGACATCGAGTTCTGTAATATCAGAACTCTCCCCGACTTCAAGACCTTCCTGGAAATCAGTCTCAAGGCTTTTATCAGCCTTCCTCTTACTCTGGCTCTTAACAGCGGTAGCAGATTCTCCAGAGGGGCCCGTCGACTCCTCCTTCTGCTCTTCCTTGGATAACGACGCGGCAGGAGCAGGAACAGTACTCCCACCGTGCCGGCCCCTGAGTGTCCGAACACTATGGGGCGTAAGTTCTTCTTCGACAATGATTTTTCCATATTGTTTCTGCATTTATTTGGTTTTACATCGGTGTTTTCCTTTACCTAGATCGGTTGGTAAACAAGACCTAACGGGCCCAATCTGCTCGGGGGTTTCGAGTGCTTTTAAGGCGGCACTCACTCGCTTTTGACGTGGATACTTCATCAAGTTTAATGCAGCACTTTTATAGACTACTCCCTTCCCACAGGAGCAACCACCCTATCCTCAGTATCCACCGCTGTTTGTCCGGGACTGCTTATTCCTCCCGAAGGAGTTATTCGCAGCTAATCTCAATACTTGAAACCGTTCCCCTATCCGCAACCCGGGGACGCGCTCGGTGGCAGTCAGCTCTGCTCTTGGAAGGCCGGGGCTGTCCCCCCGACCCCCAAACCGAGGAGGTAACATAATCTAACTTAACCTAACCTTTTTTTTTATTTGGAGGAAATTGTTTATGGATACCCTGGCCTCGGGGGAAGATGGCCAGAGTTATATGGGAGTCCTTCCTTCATTCCCCAAAATGAAGGAGGTATACCCATTAAAATCTCCAAGGTGTGTTTACTCAGCCCGTCTGAGGAAGCGACCCGGAACCCCTGGTAAGGATTCTGCTGGGACCCTCCTTTGGGCTATTCTGACTACTGGGAGAGGGGAATGAAAGTTCTCCTCTCTGTCAGTCTCATGATGTAAGTATATCAAGTGTAACATTGCGCATAAAGGCGGCTGAATACAGAAAGAACCAATAGGAAATTTGCCCCAAAATTGGCGTGGAATTCAAATATAATATCATAATATCATAATATACTATAATATAATATGATACCATTTTATAAGCTATATAATTTATTCATCTATTCATTTAATTGTATGATATATTTAACTTACCACACGTTTGTTCACTGCTGTTTGTAAATATCTGATACTGTTCTAACCTATCTTAGGTAACATTGACGCTAGTGACGGCTGCTTTCCTTTTAAAAGACTAATCGACACAGATATTAACACATTCGAGCACATTTTGAGTCTCCGCCCGAGAAGAGTCAGAGTCTCGATTGAGGTCAATTACAATTATAAGTGAAAAGTGACGTGTGGTGTTTTGTGTCGGATGTGTCGACTCCCGGTAAAAAATTTTTTATGTATAAATTTGTATGGACATATTCGGCATATAAATTTGCATACTTAGATATAATTATTTTAATTTGTGTATAAGTATATATAAAATTTTTTACCGGGCTGTTTTCTACAATAGTTAGTTTTAAAATTTGGGGCAAAGTTTTGATTGGTTTGGAGAGCGGCCATTAGCTTGAACCACTGCGCAGTCACGGGAATGTTACACCTGATATACTTACACCATGGTCAGTCTCAGCTTTGACGACGAGACGGGACACACGCCGTCGCGTCGTTCCAACTCGGGACCGCGTGCACGACAAGCCGGGACCCCCATCTCGACCTGTCATGGTCACCGCGGAAGAATCCCTCCTGGGTGGACGGTTCCACCCAAGGACTTCTGCGCTTCTACTTTACAACGTGTCCCTGTTGGGGCGACGGGCTACTCAGGGGACCCGGCTCCCCCACGAGTCCGCTGCCCCGGTTTCCCTTCCCACACGCTATGATAAGGGAGGGAAATTATTTACATTGGAGAGGCCTTTGACGCGCGCGGGGAACGGGCGCCGTGTCGCCCGCTCGCGCACTCCTCCGAGGCCTCCCTTGAGGGAGAGGAGCTCGCTTCCTCTCTCTCTCCGCAGCCTTCTTCTGCTCCATCACCACGGAACAGAAGGAGACTACGGCTCCTCATTTGTCTTTGTCTCTGGCCAACGCTCTCTTCAGACACAGGGACAGGTCCGCACCTATTTTGGCGACCAGCTCCCGGCGCTTATTGGCCCACTGTGGACAGTGCTCCACAGTGTGCCGCACCGAGTCGCTAACCGCCCTGCACTCGTGGCACTGTGCCGTCGGCTCTTTCTTTATACGACACAGGTACTCACCGAAGCAGCCGTGCCCGGTGAGCACTTGTGTCATCCGGTAGGTGAGACGTCCGGCCCCTTGTTCTAGCCACATTTGGAGGTAGGGCCGGACTACCTGGACGATTGTCTGGACGGCCGCGCGCGGCTCCTCCAGGCGCTGCTCCCAATCTTGGAGCAGCTGTCGCCAGGCTTGGCGCTTCGCGTTGGCGAGGGCCTCCCGGAGACCGTCTCTCTCCACGACCTCCTGCAGCAATTCGACTCGGCGAGAATATCTCGCCGAGTACATTTGTGCAAAGAGGGCGAGGGGAGGTATCCCCACCAAGACGCCCGCCGTCTCCGTAGCTACGGTGTGGAAGCCGCGTATCACGCGGAAGGCAACTACTCTTTGGGCCACGCGGAGCAAACCGAACTTGCTCCGTGCGCCCGCCCCCGCTGCGACTTCCGCCCACAGAGGTGACCCATACAGGGACACCGCGTGCACCACGTTCACGAAGAGACAGCGGACCTTCTCCCGCGGGCCCCCAAGGTTCGGAAGTAAACGCGTCAACGACTTGGCAACCTTCCGAACTCTGGGAGCCAGACGAGCAAAGTGCTCTTTGAAGCGCCATTTTGGGTCGAGGTAAAGACCTAAGTACTTGAAACAAGTATAGACGGCGTCATTAATTCGAAGAATAGGCACGGGGATCGGAGGGCAAGCGGGGCGGTTGCTCGTAGCGCCAACGGGCGCCGTACTAACTAACTAGTAGCAATCGGATGTCCACAACTGGACACCCGATTTTGGGACTAATGGATATTTGGATCAACTGGACTTTTTATGTGATCCCCGCGCCTATTCTTCGAATTAATGACGCCGTTTGTACCTACCTCGACTCGTGCCTCAGTTACTCTGAGACTGAGTCCCCGCGGCGGTCGCCCCCGGGGGCCATAAAACCACATGGCCTCCGTCTTGTGGACGGCCACCTTGAGGCCCAGTATCTTAATTCTGCCGACGACACAGTTGGTGCCCACTTTGGCCAGGATCCTGGCCTTTCAATCTGACCCAGAGGCCACTACGAGGGTGTCATTGGCGTAACAGAGTCTAAACCTCCCACTCCCCGGAAGTATATCGCGACAGAGCCGTCCTCCGACTCCGATCACGACGGGTGGTCGGAGACGTTGTAGGGCTCTGCCACGACCGCGAGACCTTCCCGTTCATCTCCGCGAGGTTTTGGATCATCAGATCCTGGGCTCCGCGGGAGTGATTAAGGTTGCTCTGGAAGAAGACGGGTCGTTGTTGGGAGGAGTGGCTACAGCAGCAGCGCTCCTTTTTGCCGCTGTCCCAGTGTTGTTAGATGGGACGCTTTTTTTCGCGCATGCGCGACGCATCTAGTTATAATTCCAGCGGCCACCGGCCGCCGCCAGTGATGTATGTTATATATGTAGTACGTAGTGTTAGGTGCTGGCAAAAAATGTGACGGGCTACATAAAATAAAGTTATATTTGATGAGTATATTTGAAAATTTGGTAAATGTACAGAATAGGGGAGCCCCCTCCGATTGATATATTGTAAATATGACCTTCCTGAGTACGTTTCTAAAAGTTTTAGCCGTCGCTCATTGTTTATAAAAAAGTTATGAACCAAAAAAGTTTGATGACTAAACTCTCGTTTCTCGACACTGTATACATTTTTCGTGTGTTGTAAACATG